ACAAAACACCTCCGTCTCTAAACACAAAGCGCCTCTGCGGTGGACGGCATTGTTCGCCCTCCCTCCATCGGCAGGACGCGGAGAGCTCTCCATCCAGGAGCGTCGGCTTCAGGACGTTAAAAAAAAAAAGAAATCTAGCTGTCGCTGCGGAACGAGGACACACACGTTAGAAACCGGACGCAGGCCACGGTTTCATTATGGCGAGGACTAACATTGTCGGGTGTATGTATGAATGTATGTATTTATGTTTATGTAACCGAGGCTACGAATCAGAATGGACATGACGCACACACGCGCGAGAGGGCCCGTGGAAGAAAAAAATAACACCTCCGGTCCTTTGTTATTCAGGAGAAAAAAAAACTGCATTGATTTGAGAGAATCTAAGCTCCTCTCCGGACCCGGATCTCCGCTCATCGTGTTCACAGCGGACCTTGATTTATTAGCTGTACAATTAAGGCACGCGGTGAATGCCAAGAGAGGGATCGCACTCCGCATCGTTCACTAAGATGGAGAGTCAGCGTGGAAACAGATACAGAGACGCAGCAGCTGCAGCGACAGGAACGCACAGGAGAAAACTGCTGCTGTTACACGGTGTCACCACAAGGTGTCGCCGCAGGACTACAATAACTGCTCCTGTTGAAGAGTCGTTGATTCGTTTGCATGTTTGTGTGTACAATTATATAGTATATGATGTATTATGTATTATACTATAAATTGTACAGAGGTTTCAAACATATGGCTCCCGGGCCAAACGAGGGATTTCATAGATGTCAATAATTTACATTTTAAAGATGTACGTTTTAAATGATGGTAGGACACAAAATCTTATAATAATGAATTAGTTTCAGTTAATCATTATTTTTTATCAATTATTAATATTTGACATAATAAGCAATATTATTTTAAAATTATTTTAATGTTACTGCAATTAACATATAGGTGAACGTAAACAACAAAACAGGACTGTCGTAGCTAACGTTAGCTGTGCTGTCAGTACCAGAGCCATTACACTCTTCTACTCGCAGACACATTTTAGCAGTTAGTTGTTACCGTTAGCATGACACATTGCAGTGATAAGAGAATTGTGTTAGCTAACACCCACCCATGTGCTCGTATCCAAAGTGCAATTATTTCACCCGTGCTGAGAAACAGACATAGTTGGCAAAATGAAAATGAAATAGAAAATAGTAATGGAAAAAAAAGAAAAAAAGAACTGAAGTATTTTTAGAGGCTAATTAATATTTACTGTATTTGTAGAAATCCTCTCTGTGGCCGTGAGTAGAAACCGTGACCATCCTTTTGGTTTAGTTTTACCTGAAAAAGAAAAAAAAATCACAATAAGTGAAAATGTATAAAACCACATCTAAGAAGTTTTAGTTTGTTTCCTAAGTGTCTGACTGTGTGTGTAAAAATTTTTTTTTTGGTATGACATAAATAAACAGCCAATTTACTACATCCTGCAGGAGGCACTGTTGCAGCATTCTTTACACAAACATCCTTAGCAGCACAATAAAGCAACAATCGAACCAACAGATAAGTATATCTTTAATAATGAACATGATGAAATCTAAGAATGTGATAGTGACCTCTTGATACAATCGATATTTAATTCAGGGGTGACTTAAAACATTTTTTGCATAACTTTTTATATTCCAATAAGATAATATAACTCTGATTGCTCCAAAGTCGTACTCCCTCTCACTTCTCTCACTCCTGCAAACACACATACATAATACAGCAAGCAATAAAAAGAAAAGAAAAGAAATAAAGAAGAAGAAGAAGTCACAAACATATACCATATAGGCTAGTCTCTGGGTGTTCATACACTTGACAATAAATTGGTTAAGTATAATGCTACAGTTAAACATTTCGAGGCGATCTCAGTTAGAAATGCCGATACATTAAAGCTTACATTTTGTGATGATGATGTTAAAAAGGTTATAGCAATAAAAATGATGAAATGCCAAGATCATTATATTGTTAAGAAAGGGAGAAAACACTAACCGAAAAAAGACAAAAAAAAAAAAAAAATCAAAGTAACGGGCCTGGCTCTTGACTTTTTGAAGCACTACATGCTACATTCCCCCACCTGTTGGAAAAGTGGGGAATGACAGTCGCTTGAACAGAGAAACATTTTTCAAATGTTTTTTCCAAAAAAAAAAAAAAAAAAACACCTTAAAGACTCTTCACTGGACTTTTTTTTCACACTGAAAATCAAACTCGCAATTTCGAAGGAATTTCTGGTGCGGAACAAATTCACCGACAGAATTACTTTGAATCACCATAATAAGGCTCAACTCTGTGGAGGGAAAAAAAAAACAATAAACAAAAGAATAAAGTCATAATTTTCCCCAGATTTCATATTTTAAATGGACAATCATTTGAAGCCAGGCGTTCGTTTTCCCAATGACCTTTTCTAACAGTTACGCTTTCTAATGTCACAACCTTTGCACAATTATGTCAACGCAAAACAAAAACGTTCAGTGTCACATTCCTCCACCAAAGTAAAAACGGCCCGAACATGAAAAAAACCGGGGGGCCGTTTCTGAAGCTTTTACCTCTGATAATATAAAACACAACTGGCCACGTACACATAGCAGACGTTTGTCAATAAAGTGTTGCTCACTCATAAAGATTAACCAATACAAGCACTTAACATGTCTCCAACACACAAACCACAAAGTGAACAGTCACTGAATATCAGCAGCATGTTTTACCAAGAGTTTTAAAACAGACGTGCAGATATTTATATTTAGTTCGAGAATGCGATTTTTCTAGGGGAGCGATAAAGATTTATAAGGCTAGAAAATAACCAAACAAACAAGAAAAATATATATATATATTATTGAAGCGACTCAACCGGTGGAACTAAGTCTGAATCCCTGCACTCCTCCTAAAGACCGGGGAACCAGGAACTGTGTGGCTCAAAATTTGACATGGGCTAAAGCCAGCATCCTTACATAGAAAATAATATTAGTTTTCAATTTCTTTGTGTCCGTGCGTTTTTTCTTTTTGCTCTTAAATTTCAGTACGTCCATCCGAGTACAACGTTGATCAAAGCTTTCAGAGGGCGCCTCCTGCTGTTCACTTCTGACGATCCTGAGGAGGACGACAACGAAGAAAGAGAAATTTTATATTCATGTTCGATCTGATCACAGTCAAATCAGTGAACAGAATGAGAAGATTCTTTTTTTTGTTTGTTTTTACCTGATCCATTCGAGATCGGTTCTGCATCGGTGCAGGTTCGTAGCCCTGGAGAGAATGGAGGGAAAAAAACAAAAGCTATGATAAAGTGTGAGAACGGAGGCTAACAGATTAGCATCTGTACAAAAATACCATAGTTTTATTAGTTATTACGGTTCTTCTGCCTTTGTCCACGACTGAGGGACAGAAACAACACAGTGACTTCAGACTGGTTCAAAAACCTGGTCCTCAATCTGCTTGTGTTTGGACTCGAGACCAGCGAGAACATCAACAAACAGACAGACCAAAGGTCCGACCCATGGACACAAGAGCGTTATCCATTTCTACCACTGTGTGGCAGTGTCAGACACATGAGGAGTCTGATCTGATTAAATGTCTTTTTTTTTCTGCCCATACATGTAATTTAATTAAAAAAACCAACAACCAATCAAATAAAAGATCTCAGTCTATAGAACACAAAAAACCAACAACCAATCAAATAAAAGAGCTCACAGTCTGCAGAACACGTCATTCAAACACTTCCTGAAACCTTGCTGTTCTGCAGCTCGTGCTAATGAGCTAAAACAACAACGTTAGTGATGAAAAGTTTGGCAATTATTTAGACGATGATTCTTAAGGTTTGTCCTTATTTTAGGAAATTAATCTGAAGATACAGTTTTTTTCGCACATATTTACATTTCTTTAGCACAATTTTTTTTCAATTGAGATTAAAATTCAATTTTTATTTGAGTGAATTCTTTCTATATTATTTTTTACCCAAAAACAAACAACAACTGAATCATGAAGAAACGTGTACCTTCTTCACCACCTCCTCCTCCTCCTGCTTCTTCTCGTAGTGGGAGAAGTCGTCAAAGATGGAGGTGGTGTGTTTGTACTGGGCGATGATCTTCAGCACCTGCTTGGCCTTCTCCAGTGGAACCTCTTGAGTGTCACGGGAGTTGGTGACGGGCTTGTTGTCGTTGTTTTCCAGGCGGATGTGGCGCAGCTGACTATTAGGCACGTCCTTTACAAACAACCAGTTCACGTCAAACTTGCCCTTCCACTTGTCCTGCGCCCAAACGCCGGCGCTGGTTCCGTAGTCCACAGGTGAGCGCATCTCTGCCACACCGCAGAAATGCCCGCTGCCGTTGACGCTGAACAACAAGTAGACGGGACCTTTAGAGTTCATGGCTCTGAAGGCCGAGTCCAAGCGCTTATTGCCGTGCTCTGTGCTGCACCAGATGGAGTACTTGATGGAGCGGTGGATGTCGTCCTCCGAGTAGCTCTTGATGATGAACACGCGGCCGTTCTTCAGGTTCCAATCAAAGTCCTTGGGGTTGTAGCTGTGGGCTGCTCTGAGCTTCTCCAGAACAGGGTGGGAGTCCGCCCCGGGCTCGGGGAGCAGACCGCCGCCGCCGCCTCCGTTACCGCTGCCCCCGCCGCCGGAGGAGCCGC